AAGACAATGTGCAGAGTAGTCCAAGGGGTGGCATCACTGCCAATGCGACTGACTGTGTGCGTTCCCATTCACAAGAAGTCACGGTCACTCTTGGCTGATAAGCAAGGGTCTTAACTTCATCCTCCGAACAATATTATGACACATAATTGTGCCTACAATTCCATCATGCAGAAATACACGACTACAAGCAGAGAGCCGTTGTCTAGGCATCTAATGACGCAAACGCAACACCCAGAGTGGACCTATTTCTCGCTAAATTTCAGTAGTCGAAGGTCTTTTGTAACTTACGTGAAAAAAAACTAAAATTGAATTGACAGCTCCTCAGAGTAACCCCTATTTGGTGTACACACACAGCGAATGGGAGCCACTTTTTTACCTTTCTTCTGCACTACTTTGATCGAGTTTATGTTTCAATGAGCAGTGCCGTTTAATTACGGCAAACATGCGATGACATAATGGAAGTCTTCCAAACCCCAAGACTGTAGGAGAATTTCTCAAAATAAGGTCTCCATTTAATAGTAATGTCCAACGGATTCGCTTCAATGGCTGCAGCACAGGAGCACAGCACCAGCGACCTCGTTAACAGAATTGCATCGAAGGCAGTTATTCCATTCGAAGCATCGTACTGCCAGGAGGAGGCATTAAGGGAGGCGAGGAGGAGCGAATGGCGAAGCCACGATGGTGGACGCCTGAACGTGTCCACTCGAATTGCTGCAGAAGGCTGTGCCGCTGACAGCGGGACGCTTGACGCAGTGAAAGACGATTTACGATCGCTAACTGTAAAGTTTGCTTTCCTGTCGAGTGATGCAGATGTAGTTAATTTTTTTCTCCTTCAATTTAGCTCAAGTAAATTAATTGCACTTACTTTATTGTTAGTAGGAGGTGTAGCACTTATTCTGTGAGGCGCAGGACAGCAACCTAAAACTTAAATTTGCTCTAAATCTTCTTCAGTAGCTTGCAACTTTATTGCGGCAGTGGTAAGTTAAATGCGTATGCAAACTTCATTCTTCTGTAAGGCAACACTACTTGGCATCAACTTTGCAGGCAATGAACTACTTTTAACTCGTGTCTTGGGTCGCCGAACGTGGATTTGCTTTTGAATAATTAAATGGGCGTGTATTTAGATGAGTAAAGACATTTTCCATCGCTGAGTGATTCAATGACGCCTTTTGAAACCGCACCGCTCAACTTTAAAAGTGTGGCAATGCACTATTGCGTTGTCAAGAGAAGACAATCCCATTGAAGTCTATCAAAAACGCTGTTGTATTGTGTGATACTGAGAAGGGTGTCTTGTCAGGAAATGCATTTATTTCGCTCCCTTTAGGATGATTATGTGCATTCTAACCTTTAGTTTGTGATCCCCAGAGTTGTAAAATACTACGTCTAGTTCTGTCACTTTACAACCAATTTTTTTTCTAGCAGAAGTAATCCCTGTCGGCAAAATTATTGTTGGTCATCACCATTTCATTCCACTATCGTCGGTGTTTGATTCACGGATGCTTTCCTTAAAGCTCTAAATAGGACGAAGAGTGGGGAGACTGACCAAAGAGACAAAAGACTCTACTGGGCGTACAAGTCCTCCGTTTTGTTTTGTTTTGTTTTAGTAGATCCTTAAGGCTTGACACATGCATTTTCCTGATTAGTATGGCCTCTGGATGAGGTCAATAGCGCCTTCAATCCCAGTCTCCGTCAGCAGTACATCTATTATGCTCCTCATGCCCTATGGAGATGGGATGGGTGAATTTTGTTGTTGTGGGAATGGAATCGACACTTGAGTGGTGCGAAGTGTGCTTCGTTGCATTAGCCCGATGCTGCGACTACTCCTCCTATAAATCGCTCATCCCATAGGCTGAGCTGGTTATTGAGGGTAAATTAGATTGCATAGACTGTCGTTTCACGACACAGTTGGATTCCTGAGCACGTTGCTCAGTCACGTGTCTTCAACCTCCAGGTCGTAAGAGGCACATAAATCAAGTCAAGGCTTACGAGAGTACCTTTAGCAGTTTTGGCAAGCAAAACTGCATTCTCTAGGCCATAATTCTTCCTTGCTAACACACAGAATTTATTTGAAAACAAAAGACATTTCTTCGGTCTACTTGGCAGCCCCATTCTCCTTTTGAGCCGATAGAAATGACAGGATCCATTCCCGATTATCAAATCACCTCCGACTGAATGAAAACCTCAATCGGTTTTGCAGAGTTTTGTCATTCAGTCAAAGCATGATAGCGGCATTTAAGCGGTAAGTAGAGGACAAGTGGTAGCAGTGTGAGAGCTTTTGAATAAGAAGAACCGAAAAGCAGCAATGTAAGTTTATATGAAGTGCCTAAAAGAGCTGTCACCATCTGTGTTAGAGGCACGATCCTAAGGCTAAGACAGCCCATGTATCACTCACGTGAATTACAGCTTCTTCTCGCTTTTCCTCTCCTGCCTTAAGATGGCCACTTTGTGCTATCAAATTCGTTTGGTGACTTTCTACTTCGTGGATTAAACTGGACGATAAACAAGAAAGCAAATCTTAAGGCAAGGGATCCATTTTCACTCCCTCAAATCCACTTTAGTCTTGCAGCAGCCTTCTGTCGTTGAAATGTTCACCACACCGTACAAATACCATTGTTAAGAGCTCGTCGTTTACCTCGAAGGCGTGCAATCGTTCCACCTAAACGGCCTGTCCTTTCTGCTCAACTTTTCGTGCAAGAGAACTTGAACCCTGAATCCAATGCATTTGACGTGTTAGTTCTCCTACATGTGCTACGACCCGAATTTATCTTCCATCTCGAAAACCTCGTGCACTAATCGGGATTGACTTGGAGTATTTCCAAAAGCACTGACCCCAAAGTAGTGTCTCGTCACCTCTCGGAGCGGTCAGCATGGCGAGTGAGGCCACGGCTGTCTCCATTCCAACCTACGGCGTCCATGGGGCTTAAAATGAAGTCTGCTTGCTAGAATTATTGCGAAGTCAAGTCATTGGAGCAAATTTTGCCATCAAGTTACTGCGCAATAGGACAATTAGAAGAGTCAAATGACTTGTTCCTATGCCATTAAAATGTAGCTGATTTGGTTTTTACACGAGCGAATCATGAATAGGAGTTAAACGTTTGGCTGCTTGCTATTTCCTTATTCAAAGTATTGTGTAAGGACTAGTGGGCCGACTTTTGCCATCCAAATAGTACATTTCCTTTGTTATAACTCAATAATACTGAATAAATGGGACCTTTGGGCCATTTTTAAGTTGGAAACAGTTTACCTTCTTCAGAGGTACTGTACTTACCTCTTGGAGAGGTGAAGGCTATAAATCACTCGAGATGTTCAAAGTGGACTCAAAACCGATGCGGCAAGAGGTGACACCCTTCAGTCTCCTAGTGACGAAATGCCAAGCTTTTGCAAACAGGCAACAAGACAGAGGTTGTGGTTTATTAAAGTCTTGCAAACTTAGGACTAAACGGTAGTTCAAGTGCTGAATTGTGAATAAAGTAGTTACGTTGATCATAGGCTTTGCCCTTTGATGCAAGCACAAGGGTGTGCGTGTGTATCACTGCAAGCAGGCTCTCTTGAGAATCTCCAGTAGGTCACTGGTAGGTATTAATTGATAGCATGTGGGTAGTTTTCTGTTTCGAAGGATAGAATTGGCGGGGCTCCATTTTGCTCCGAATGCAACGGCAAGGTGTGATCTAATTAGCCACTTTGATAGGCAGCTCTTGCAGTGCTCCTTCTCTATGTGGAAATGCGAGACGGGTCAAATTGCAAAAACAAAGTAGGTAATAATGGGAGAAAGATGTCACTACGGGAGCTGTATTCACATCATTCAAATTCGAACCGCATGTGATGAAATTTCCTAGGGTTAAAATTAAAAGGTTGACTATTACATGAAATTTATTAGTTCTTACCGGTTACGTTAAGCAGATTTTGAGGAGGAGGCTTGACGTTAATGGAAACACCGAATAAAAAAGTATTTTGTGCTGCTTTGAAGCTTAAGGTGAATCCCACTTGTCAATCCTCCAGCCTTTTAGCACGGTTAGAAAATGAGTCGCCACCATGTGATGAAGTTGACAATTAATTCTTAGAAGTGGAGGCCTTTGTTTTGGAGCCATGGAAGAGATCGTCAGAACAGAAGAGCCGAGGAATTGTGGAACCCACAACAAAGGACACTTATTTGGTAATCTAGACTTATCTGACCCTACTTATGACTCTTTGTTTGCCTAAAAATGAGTCACATTTGAAAGAGGCAAGACAAAGCCTGACGAAGCCCATTAAGCCACCTGCAGACGCATGCAAACCTCATCTAACTTAGAAGTCAGCTAATCTTGTTTTTTAATTTCCAAAGTCAAAAGCACATTTAAACATTTTAGTACCATTGAACATGGGACTAAATTCAAAAATTGTACTAAAAGAGAGCTTAAAATGCGTCGAAATGACTCGGCGCCACGATTGGTTACAGCAATCGCTTTCGCCTCATTGTGTGGTGGGAGGTGAGGAGGGTGGGGAACGAAGCTTAGTACTTTCCTCCGCACGCATGACCTGCCACAGACACACACAATAAGTGAATGCTAAAACCAAAGTGGAATCTTCAAACAGGAGTCCAGACGCATACACTTATTGCCAGTATCCATTAGAGTAGACTCATAATTTAACAGATTTCGTAAACATACACAAATAGAGGCGATTGATTGCTTAAACATTCCTTTTCCACTGTCGAAGTAGAGGAACCCATTTTGGATGTGCTGTGTTTAAGTCTGTTTGCCATCTGTATGTAGCAGGGCACCTACTGGTCAATTAAACTGGAACGATTCCATTTCTACCCATTCCAAATAGTGAAATGGCCTCATCGCTGCCCAGTTCTAAGTCCCCAGAAACGCATAAGTTAAAAGAAAGAAGACAACTTATCAAAACAGGAGGTAAGACATTTGGGAGTTTATTTTAAATGAACCTCAAGAAAATTCTAATGTCAAAATGGAGTCATTTGGAAGAAGTAAGACGAACAGGTGACTAAATTTCAAGGGCGTTTATCGTGGATTGGTGACACGGAAGGTGCGCCTATGATGGGATCGGTGTTTCCGACCGGATTGGTACTTGCTTGAATCGGACGATGAGGAGCTTGAGGAGGAAGATGAAGACGAAGAGCTTCTCCTTGTGATTCGCCATGTCGTGACGTTTACATTCTCACTGGACGAAGAACTGGAGGAGCTGGAACTGGAAGAGCTGGAACTTGATACATCACGCCTTCTTGAGCCTGGACCCACGCTGTAAGCTCTTGGTTTCAGTTCAATAAGGTGCGCCCTATTTTGGGTTGCATAACTTGGCCTTCTACCGTGGCTTTTACTGCGTCCACCTGGTTGGTTTCCTAGCCAACTAGCAGCAATGCTCTCGCTTGACGAACTGCTGGATAAGCTACTACTGCTGCTACTACTGCTGCTGCTCAGTTTACGCGCATTTGATGCATAGTAGTACATGCGTCCAGACTCTCCTTTGCTTGGGCTAGAACCCGGAGTGAGGTGGTAAATACGCACTGATCCAGCAGACTTTCTTGATCGAGGACGATAATGTTTATATTCACTTTCGTAAGCATCGGAATTCTTCTTTTTCCCATCCACCTTTGGGCTAGAGTAATGATTCTTGTCGTGGTGACGGCTGCGTCCATGGTCATCAGTCGATACAAACGTGGTTCGTGACTCAAATGCAGGATTAAGAGTACCCATTTGAGATGCCGATTTAGATGCCGGTCTTCGAGAAGACGATGAGCTAGATGACGAAGATGAGGTCCTTGTGTGTCTGCTCGGGCTTCGATTTTGTGTATGAGTTGGTGCTGTACATGACATCGAGGGACTTGTTGTTATTGATGGTGTTACAGCTCGTTTCACTGACATATCGTTGATAGTTGGTGGTGACACAGAAGACACGGTAGTTTCGTGTCTCGAGAAGGATTCTCGAGTTGCCGATCGAGTTGTTTCAGTATACGAGTTGCGTCTAGGAGTTTGATCTCGGTTCGTTGTACTCGGTGCTGCGGACGTGGCTCTAGATCTTTCGTCCGCTTGTGACGTTGCCGGTGGTGGCGGTGGTGGAGGTTGCTCAGGTTCTGGCGGTTTGACACCTTTTGCTTTAGTCGTATCGTAGAATAACTTAGCATTCTCTTCTGTGGCAAACCGAAGTGCCAAAATGTAGACCTTCTTTTTTGCATCACCATCCATTGCTACCACAATGACTTTGTCTTTGGCTGGACCCTTTTTGACTTGCTTCACTTTGGTATTGATCAGAACTGGAATTGGCGGTTTTCCTTTACCAGGCGTGAATGAAGTTTTAGCTGTTTGAATATTTGCGGTAAGGGTTTTTGCTTTGCCTTTCCTGACTTGCTCATATAGCTTCTTCATTGTTGACTCATAGCCAGTTTCTTTCTTGAATTTCTTCATCTTCATCAACTCCACAATAACCTTAGATGATTCCGTAGCCATGATGATTGAGAAAACGAAAAAAGCGTGTTATGGAATCGGAGACCTAGAAGCTTGTCTACACTCCCTTGCTAGATTACAGTGAAGGTGAAAAAAGGAGACAGCTTTTATGCTAGGGCGATTAACCAACGAGGATCAAGTGAAGTAGGATGAGGGTGCTGTTTGCGCATCCACTCATCTACTTACTTACTCACACACTCAACCACTCAGCTACTCAATCTCGAGCCCCCTTGCAATTGTTTGCCTGCGCACATACGCAAATGCAACAAAAGTTTCACAACATTGATTTGGGGCGCTGTCTTCAGTTCAGAAATCGGTTATTACAGCTTGATAATGTAGGCAGCACATTGTGTCTAACAATGCAAAGTGATGCTGAGAAACAACACAATGACAAAATCAAGAGCTTGGGGTTTAATTTGCGGTCATCTATTATAGGTTGACCTTTTAATGAATTCTTAGTTGTTTTAAACTTCAAAAGGTCATTTGGATCTCCTCTTTGGCTACTACAGTTTTCGACGGAGATGATTAAGGATTTTTAGATTGTCCCTTTACATTTTGCAACTTGCATAACCACCGCATTCACCCACGCTTACATTGCTAGTCGCGCTATTTGACGAGATGATTTGCTAATTTTCGAGTAATGAGATGAAAAGCGCAAACTAGAGGATTTTTTCAATAGCTTCTTTTGTCTTCGATAACAGCATTAGTCAAACCATGCTTAAATTGGTTAATGTTATATCTTGGTAGACAAAATTAACATTTTAGCGTTGTGACTCTTCATGTTTTATATATAAATATGAATTTAATGATATGAAATATCAGTTTCTCTTATAATGAAGGAAATCACTTGAGTAGTCAGCTTTAGAACTTGTGTTAGTCTGTAAGCAGAGAGGGGGCAAAATCACGGGGTGCGACTGCGTCAGCCGGTGGATCACCACTGCGTTGAGCATTCAACTCACAAGACGTTCTCATTGGATTGTATGCATATTCGCACTTGCCAGCAAAGCGATTAAGGAATGTGTCGTCCCTCAAACTGACTCAGGCGGGGGTGTTCCTTCTAGATTACACTAAATTAATCTGGTGACCGCGCATTTGTCTTTAATCACCAAACCACCGAGCGGGGGTGATTAGTAAACTCCAAACAATACGGTTTAAAGGTAGCAGTGCTAAAAGCATGGTTTCGTTCCAAATACGATGACCGTGGATATGCATTTGTTAGAAGGAAATATAAGAAATGATAAATGGGTGGATATCACTCACTAAATGGACTTACTTGATCACCAAACTAGACCAGAAGAAAGATGATGTCCCATAGCTTCAGTTGGTCCCAAATTTCATCACTTAATATATAATCTCGTTGAAGACTATGGTAATCTACTCATTATCCCCATTGACACCCATCAAGTAATTCGGAAATGTTTCAGCCTCCGTGTAAACTACAAATAGACGTTCCATCAGAACCTATTTTAACTGTCGCATTAAGTAAAAAGCCAGTTTTAGGTCGCCTTTCTTCGGTGTGGAAGAGGATACAGGGCTAGTCAGATCCCTTCGTAAAGTGTCGCTATGTCCTGTATTACTGTTAGCGCGATCTTAGGTGAGGAATCGGAGACTGCAAGTTGGTCCTTCATTCTTGCGTTTCCCTATTTTTTCCTTTTTTTCATAGTTACACTATATTACTCAGCTAAAACGAATAATTCCAAAGTTGTGCATGTTATTTAGCTGACATCGTGCGTCAAGCACGCTCTCTTATGAGTTGTCAGGTGCTATGTATCACCATAGCAGTTAAGCAGACTCGAGTTTTTTTCCTTCTACCTCGAAGCTGTGCTGCTGTGCAGAGACTTCCATCTTGAAAGCTTTCGCACGACACGGACTACTGCAGTCCTTAGGGAGCTCCGCATTTCCCATATTTTAAGCAAACATCCTCCAATCCAAAATTACATAAAATATCGTTTTCTTTGAACCCTTTTTTTAAATATGAAGAAGCTTCACTTCTTTCTATCCCTTAAGTGAAACTATCAAATTCAAATGTGTTTTATTAGTACTTTAGTTGGCGTTAATTTATGATTAAAGTTCAAAAACTTCCTTATGATTAAAGACTTCGCTTCATAACCAACAAACCGGCCTGCTTAGCACTAGTTTAAACCTATTTGGCGTCCCTTTTGTCCACTTCAAGGATCTACTTTTCATTCAGCACACCGATTCCTGAGTAGGCGGAGAGAGGACAAAACTAACTGACTTAAACTGTATCGCATTTGATGGTTTGGCTGTAATACTTTGGTTATGCGACCGCCTGATGTCTGGTGGTTACTTTAAGGTTTGTCTGACCCATGCATGCGTGGGTCGACCT